AGTCTGCTGATGTTCGTAGGGGTGGGGACCTGAGGGGAGGCACAGGGATTGGTCATGTTGGCATGGTCGCTGATGCTACTGGCTGTCCCCTAGGGTGAAGTCCCACCGCCCAAGTTGAGTTCAGAAAGCGCAATGGTGTGACACCATTTCTACATTAAGCTTCTGATCCGACAGTGCCTAATTAGGTAATTTTGGTGAAAAAGTCGGACCCCATCACTTTCCGAGGTCAGTGGGTGCGGCGCTTTGTTAGGGGTACGTTTTCAGGTTATATGTAGGTGGCGCATAGCCCGTGATGAACGGCCCAAAGACACTACATAAAATGGAAAGCTCAAGGACCCCTACCCCTACCTAGAAAGTTGTCGTGAAAATGTGTCAGCCTTTTCTATGTCCACCCTTCCTCAGCAGGTCCGTATGTGTCACCCACATCGGGAGGCCAGGCCATACGGCGGGCCACAGGAACGTCCGACTTCATAGAAGCCCAAAGAAACACGCTGCGGTAGTTGGGAAAGACCCACCGAACCCGCCTCTGTGGGGTCCCAGTTCGGCCCGTTGCCTTCTTTTTAGGGACTTTCTTGTTTTTTCTCCTTTTTTGTAATGCCGGATCAGCGCCTTTTTTCTTTGTTTTTTTTTTTTGTTTTGTTTTGTTTTTTAAATCCTCATTCTCAGTTTTCGGCTGTTTTCCAGGATGCCGAAACACAAAATGCCAGAAAACGGCGCCCTAATCCCTCTTCACTGTCTGAAACAGCTCTACCAATACCATCCACCCGTCTCAACGTTCGAGTTCTCTATAATAACCCAATATCTCGTTCAGACCTCGGCCGGCCGTCGAAGACGGTACTACGCATTCACAACACACGAAACAATCCCTTTCCACATACAGGACTCAGCCAGCTCTCCCCTGCCCGACTCTTGATACCGCCATTCCTTAACAGGTCTGCCTTTCACAATTCGCGGACAAGGCCCTGATGTCGAAAAATGTCTCAGTCATTCCCTAACCGGGCARAACACAGCTACCACAAGCATGGCCTTCACCCATATCTACGCCGCCGTCCACGGCACCTCAACAACTAYCTGAAGCATGGCCTTCCCCCATATCTCCACCTCAACAACTACCTGAAGCCTGGCCTTCCCCCATATCTCCGCCGCCGTACACGGCACCTCAGCAACTAAAAGCAAGAGATGTTGAAGACAAACTCGGACAATCAGYGACCTCATCTCTAGTACACCGGCGYCTTGTCCACCTCCTCGATGACGACGCTCTTGATGGGCTTTGCAAGGAAGTCCGTGAACTCCTGGAATGGCGAGCGAGTGAAACGGGTTTCCCTCCAGAGTTCCGGAGTCAAGAACCCGTACGTCTTCAACAGACATGCGAAGGTTGCCTTAACGAAGTTTCCGAGGGTCTTCGTGCAGCCAGTGGACGACGTAAACACATCCTCAATACCGGCGAACTGGAGCACCTTCTTGGGCACTCGCGCCGCCACAATTCCGGCACCTCGTGGAGCGGGCACCAGCCGGACGCTGACAGAGCCGCACTTCCCTGTGACCTTTGCTGGAACAGTGTGAGGCTTGCCAATCTTGTTACCCCAGTATCCACGCCGCACGGGGATGACAGAGAGCTTTGCCAAGATGATGGCACCACGGATGGCCGTGGCCACTTCCTTAGAGCACTTGACACCCAGGCCGACGTGCCCGTTGCTATCGCCGACAACGACGAAGGCCTTAAACCTTGTCCTCTGCCCAGCGCGAGTCTGCTTTTGCACGGGCATGATCTTCATTACTTCATCCTTCAGCGCTGCACCCAGAAAGTATTCCACAATCTGATGCTCCTTGATTGGAAGGGAGAAGAGATAAATCTGTTCCAGCGACTTGATTTTCCCATCCTTTACGAGCCTCCCCAGCTTCGTGACAGGAACCCACGCCTCCGCCTCCTCCCTCCTCGGACCTCTCCTTCCACGACCACGATCGCCTCGCCCACGCCCACGGTCTCCACGATCTCCGCGGCCGAAGCCCCTACCGAACCCACCCCGTCCACCACGCTCCTGATCCGCCATAGCTCAAGGTCGACGTGAAAAGCTGAAGGGACACGACGCCCGCCTGCCTTCGTGCCTAAGACTGACTATGGAGGCTGAGCACCGACCACGAGATCCCCACGAAAAAGGCCTTTTTTCTTTTTTTGAAGTACATCAGATCATAGTATGAGAGGGTCCTGCCAGCATTGATTACCCTGGATTCCAGGGGATCAGCGCCTAATAAATTCGAAACAATAAATTTAAAAACTGAAAAAAAAACGTTAGAAACAGCTTTTCTCCTTATTTTTGATAAGGTAACTCAGAGAAATGAAACACGTCTGGCACAGTCGGAGTGAATGTCTCCGTGGAAAAGGGATACACCCCGCGGTGAGGGGCCAGGAGGTCACCATTTGTAAAATGGACAGGGACGACATTGATGGCCAAATGCGTTCATTGCCCAAAGAAGGAAACCAGTTCCATGCCAGAGAGCCAAACACAGCTGTCAGAGTTCCTCCCTTTCAGGATGTAATGATGTCTAACAAAGCAAAAAAAAGAAAGGCACATAAGTTGAGAAATCTACCCTGGGGGGGGGTAGGGTAGTTTTCTCAACCACCAATACTTGGCCCAGCTATCGGCTGCGGGAAAAAATAGAGTAGAAACGCTTCTAATTGGATGAATTTGGGCACTCCTGTAGTGGCCCATACATTTCCTAAGATCGTGGCGCGTTAACGGGCACTACTTTAGGAAGTACTGGTGGTTTTGATTGCCTTTTGCATATGGTTTTCTTTTCATGGTTGGTGGAATTGGGGTCACTAAATTAGGGTTGTCACGACTGTTGTCATTAGAGTATCTTGGTGATTAACTTTTATTTTGCTGATAATTTCCGTTGATTTTTCAGTGGTAGGGGCTGTGGAGTTGGTTGTGGAGTTGACTGTGCGGTGAAATCTAGTGGTGCTGTGACGCCCAACCTCACGCCCAGCGTGACTTCCTGATCGGAGTGGAGTGTGGGCCTGGAAGTGCGAAAAGGGGTGTGCCAAGGATTTTTGGGGGGGAAGTGGGGGAGTCTTAAGGGTATGAATGCAATTAGGCGAACGACGGGTGCGCGTGCAAGGGTCTCACAGTCCGAAGGGGCCGAGACACTGTGGGCGACGGGTTATGGGAAAATTCCTCCGTGGTGGAGATGGTCCTGAAAAGTTAGGCCGTCGGGGGCCGCCACGTGGCGCAGGCCGCCGCGTACCTCGGTTGGGCCTTTGGAATTCCGGAGTTGTCGGTGCGCCATTGCGACGGCAGTTCACGCAAAACGTATTGGGCCAATAGGGGGCTATGGCCGGCCACGGAACGACACTGAGTTGATGATAAGGGAGAAGGAGGCGGAAAGGAGGGAAACTGGTGGTGATCTCAACGAATCCCGGGTGGGTGAAGTAGTAGGTGTGGTCGGGAGAAGGGAAATCGGAGCATCGAGGGTCGCTAGAGGGGGCTTAGTGGAATTCCCGCGGACATAGCTGATTCTCCGTGTGACAGGGATATCGTGTCCTTATGAGCTCGTTTATTATAGGGGTGAAATAGTCCGGGTCATAGGATGAGTCTGAGCCCCAAGATCGCGTCATGGTATCATCGTCAATGGGATAGCGCGGGTCGGGATATCGTCACCGCGCACGAGCACGTGTAGGGCAGGCAGACTTAGTGGCGCCTCAACGTGCTCGTACGGGATGATGGTTCCGCCGCGAATCCTTTTTTGGGTGATCGAATCGACGCACGGGAATGCATGTAAGAACGCGACTCAGATCGCGTTTACACGTGTTCTCGCGCGGCGTTCGCCGGACCAGACTTCGGATCGTCGATTATGCAAGATGCAATCATATCACAACCCCCATCGCGGGATAAGCAAAAACGAGAACAAACCCACTATCGGGGCCAGATTCCTATCCCATCTACAGCGACATCAGGTGCAGGCAAAAATTTGACATAGACATAACGCAAGGACAGGGATTCTCAGCAAAAAGAGAGACATGCAGTCATAACATCCATACATCCAGACATTCGGCATACACATAATGCAAGTCGGACGGACATCGCAAGGACAAATGTGAGCAAAAACCCAAGCCCAGATTTCAGAAAGCCGAAATGAAAATAAGAACGGGCAAACCGCCCGGAACCGCAATCAAAATGTATGTACACAGATGAAGAGGGGGAAGGGACAAGAAAACAGCAAATCCGTGTCCATCGACCTCAACTCTCTTCTTCTCTCTCTCTCTCTCTCTCTCTCTCTCTCTCTCTCTCTCTCTCTCTCTCTCTCTCTCTCTCTCNCTCTCTCTCTCTCTCTCTCTCTCTCTCTCTCTCTCTCTCCGATGCGGACAGTCCGTCATCACGCACCAACCCACGAAGTTGTCACCCCGCTTAGTCCTCCCGCACCCGTCGGATTCGCCCGTGCCCACAGTCCGTCGTGGCCCACGTCAATCCCRCGCGTTCGGCACCAGCCCGTCGGGTCGCCCAACTCCTGCTCTACTCACCTCTTACTTCGCTCGTGTGCCGACCCTTCCTGATCGCGCAACCCCGAGCTTCCAACAACGGGTTAAGAGAGTTGACTAATCGCGCAGCCAAAATTTATAGCGTGCATGCATGCGCGAAGAACACGAAATTACTAGGACTTTAGAGTGAGGACTAGAGAGGGAACGCCTACGTTCTGCATGATCGGCTGCGGCGTGGGGGACGTAACCCTTCTCCACGCATCGATCCGAGCATGCAAGTCGCGGCTTATAAAATTTCAGCAAAAGAAAGAGAGGGAGGGCGGGAGAGACGAAGTGCAAGAAGGGAGATACAGTTACAATGGCGCCCGCCCAAAATTACAGTTACACATACGATTAAGGGCGCCCACTAATCAGAGTACCATTGCAGCCGCATGCAGAAGCGCGTAAATAAAAGGCGCCGCGCGGCAGAAAAAATCCTAATTACTAAATTCCTAAATTTCTATCTAATGCGAAAAAGCAAAAAGAAACACGAATTCCAGAAGGAAAGCTCGAAATTTCGAGAGCCATCGGGGGCTCGACAAAATTCGAAAAAGATTTAAAAGGAAATTCAAAAAGAACGAAGCAATTTCCCGCGCGATGTCCGCGCCCAAAAGATCGAAATCGAACCGAAAGAAACGACGTCATCATTTATTAATTGCGCGCGCGCGTGGCGTCGTGCCAGACAACCATCCGACCAATCAATCAACCGGCCGTCCCAAGACACAACTGACCCCGTGCCCGGCCATTCGAAAAAGAAACGACGAAAAAGGACGAAAAAGCAGGGACACTGATGCAATTCTCCACCGATCCCGATCTCCCGTAATTGGCCTAATCTTCCCAGCTTAGGACCCCTCATTGCAATCGCGTAGAAAATCGCGCGTTACAGAAAGTGGTTCGTCATATATGTGACGCCCAGGGGGTTCCAATATTAGCACGCTCCTGCTTGCTTGTTGGCACGTGTCGATTTCTCTAGTTGATCGACACACGGAGCAATTCTCTGTATGCCACTTACCGTTCGATTGCGTGTGGACGTCATCCAACGTGGCGACTCTGCTCTTCTACTAGTTCCTCAGATTGGGCTCTTCGACGATCCAAGGACGGGATCTTTCTCGTACCGTCGCCGCGACACACGCGTCCATTAGTGCTGCATAAGTAATTGATTGGAAGGGGGAAGGGAAGTCGGTGCATGGCAGCATGGCGGGGTGGAGGGTTTATGGGTAGCGGGGGCAAAAGGCTTTCCATTCCGGCTACAGTCTCCAGAAACTCTTGGTAGCGAACGACGCGGTGAAAGCGGAGGAAGCGATTGTCAGTGCGAGGGAGGGATATGAGATAATCAGGATAGAGGGTGGTGAGAGTCCGGAAGAGTGCCGCACGGAAACGATCGCGATCATCGCATGTGGGGATGGTCCCCGTCACCACGCAGTAGACCTCGATCATGTTGTGGCCTCGCCACGCGGCACTAAGGAGCAGGACATGGAGGCAAAAGGCTGGACGTCGCATCGAATGGAGGGGTGGGGGTGCACCAGTATAGCGAGGTGAGCAGCATAGAAGTGGCGGAAGGTGTCGCAGGGAAACGCATTGGAGGGGAACGTGATGGGGGTGGTGAGCTGGCGGAGGGTGAGGTAGTCAAGGGGACGGCGAGAGAGTGATCAGGGACGACGACCGATCGCCCGTATCGGTACGTCGGCGAACTGGGGGACGGGTTGAGGAGGAGGGGGATCGGCTCCGTCGCTGCGCTGATGGGTCAGAGTCGTGGCCGCGAGGTCGCCATCTTCAGGCCGGGGCGGCTCCGGATCTCGGTTCGGATCGTCGTGAATCTGCAGACTTACCGCGCTTGCGAGCTCTAACTCCTTCTTCCCGGCCGCGATCTCTTCTCTTTTGCGGGCCGCCTCGGGATCCTCAGCCTCCGTACCCGTACGCAGCGCTTCTTCTGGCACGGCTTCCCACTCCGATCCAACAGGCTCTTCGTCGTGCTCCTCTTCTCCTTCCTCGCTTTCTTCTTCTTCTTCGCTCTGTTCCCCCTCGCTATGCGCGCTATAGCTTCCTTCTTCGGGGATTTCGTCTTCTTCCCCGAGCTCTTTGTTTTCGTCACTCCCGGTACTCTCCTCCTCCTCCTCTTCTTCTCGAATAGCCGCAAGCTGCTCCGCCGTAGGATGCCTGAAGAAGGCAGGATCGCGAGCCGTCGGGGGATCCAGGTATTGTTGCTGCGACGGCGGGATGCGCTGTGCGGCTCCTTCTACGCAAGCCGACCACTGAAGATAAGGCGTCAATGTGCGAGAAAGTACGTGGGGAACTGGATGCTCGTCATCTTGCGAGATGATGTCGAGAGGGAGATCGTCCGCCAGCTCTGCTACCGGGATCGTGAGCTCTTTCGTGATGAGATCCTGATGACCGGGCTGCACCGTATCGAATAGAAATGCGAGAAGCTCTCCCTCCATGTTGGTTCGCCAGGCCAGGATGAACAGCAACTCCAGGCGCCCTATGCAAGGCGGGTGCGCGTCGTCCTCGATCCACGTTAGCCGTACTTCCACCAGACACAGTGAAAGCTCGATGAAGTCTTCGCGCCACAGGACCCAATGGGGAGGATGGATATCGGGGATAGCGAGGGGCTTTAGACGGTAGGAAAGGCGAGGATGAATATCGGACTGCCAGAAGGTGGGGAAGGTGGAGGGGAGATCAAAAACGGAGATCGGAGAGAGACTTATTGGGGACGTGGGAAGGGAACGAGGATAGGGATGTCTGCTGGCGGCTCACGCTGATACATCCGAAGGCCGTCGTACTCGATCACTCGTGTCGTTGCAACTGTATCTCCGGGACGAGCCAACAGCTGAGTCCACTCGGCGACCAGATCGTTCGCCCACGCGCGCAGCGACGCCTTCACCGCCGAATGTCGCAAAGGAAGAAGTGTGGAGAGATCGCCACTGAAGTTGATGACGACCGATATGCGACTGACACCTGGCACCGCCCGCTGATGAACTGCTACCGCCTCAGCCAGTACCACCGCGCCAGGCCGGCCTTCGATTCTGAATACCGCCGCTGCATACACGCCTGCCGTGCAGAAGAAGTGCGCAAGCCTTCGAAGGTCTGGACTGAGGCGGGGATGATGGACTTGCTGGATCGTCAACCAATCACGGGGAGCAAGCGATGCTGCGCTGAGGGCTCTTTCCTCCAGAAAACTCATGGCAATGGCGAAGGTGACGGGGAGGCAGATGGGGAGCAAGAGGAAGTGGGAGATGGCGGAGAGTCAGAGCCGTCGTCTTCGGCTTCCTCAGAATGAGAGATCGAGGAAGAAGGGGAGGGAGCAGAGGGGAGGAGGCGAAGATAAGACACGTGGCGGGTGATCGGGCGCGCCGATCGGCTGCCAGAGACTTCAGGGGCGAGATGCACAGTGTCCACGCCGTTGGGGCCGAGCTCAATCACGCGGTATTGCCCGAAGAATTGTGGCGCTAGCTTACCCTGGCGAGCACATTTCCTCACCTGCACTACGTCCCCCAATTTGTACTGGGGCTGCGGACCTACATTCCCATTTCGGGCCTCGTAGCTTCGGACCTGTCGGCCCTGGGCTAGTTCGGTCATTTTCTGTAGCTTTTGGGCTAGCCTAGGCAGCGACCGTTCCATTAACTCTAGGTGTCGTTTGGCCTTGTCCCGAGCCGTGGCCCTGGTGGGCCGTCTGTTCAATGTAGACTCATCCGGGAGGCTTGGTATCGAAACGCAAGTGACGCTATTGGTCCTTAATTGGAAGGGGCTCAGCCCCGTCGATTCGTGGGGCGTTCCACGATGGACCGACAGGATGTGATCGACGATATCGGGCCAGGGTCTCGGATCCCGTACCGCGATGTTTCGTCGCAACGCTGTCTTTATCACCCGGTTAGCGTTTTCGACCAGCCCATTAGATTGCGACATGTGGGGTGCAGTGTTTTGTATGGCAACGCCATGTAGGACCAGATTCCTTAGCACTTCTCCCCGGAATTCAGCCTTGTTGTCGGTCAGGATCTCTTCGGTGTCCTGATGCATCCCGAGGAAACGGTTCACATATCGCGCGATTTTCGTGGCTTGCCGCGTGCGACAAGGATACGCTTCGATCCATTTCGAGAAATGGTCGACGAATACCAGTAGGACTGAATACTCGCAACTATTAGGGCGAGGGGGCACCACTATGTTGGTAGTGTCCATGCTTACTCTCTGAAATGGTCGTTCAACAACCGTGGGCACTATCGACCTTGGTGGCTGAATCGGCGCTTTATCAGCGGCGCAAACTTGACAGGTGGCGACGATGTCTTCACATCGTCGCGGATATTGGACCAGTACCACTCATTTTTGTCGATAGCGGACTCCGTGATTCTTACAACAAAATGAGCCGCAGTTTCTTCGTGGGCTGTCTTAACCCAGTCATACCGCATGAACGGATGCGGCACTACCATCCAAATCCCACTGCCGTCCGTTTTCTGTTTTTCTAATCTACCTTCTACCCATCGATAGTCCCGAGCCCTTTCGTTGGCCCTCCTCCGATCTTCCTTGGTGAAATCCTGGAGGGGGTTACCTACTAGGGTGGCAATTAAGGCAATATCCGTCCATACTTCGGCCCTTCTAAACTTTCGGGTCTTTCCAATCCTTCTGACGTGGCATCCAAAAAGAGAGCCTCGGTCGGAATTTTGTCGGTCCGACACAAGGGGCACAACCAGGGTTTACTATCGTTCCTGTATTGGATGCAGGAGCCATGGGCCCGTGCAACACACTTTCGGCAATCTTTCCAATCCGCATATCCCGCCCCGTTAGGAGACCGAATAGACGCGGGAGATGGCTTCGCAAAAATAGCAAAATTTGTCAGACAGGGAGGGGAGAGACGAGGAGGAAGGGGGAGAAAGAGGGGAAGTGGGGTTACCTCCATCACCCATCGCCACCGTTTTGCTTCTTGCCATGTGGGAGAACTGCCACTTGTCTGTACTTTGGCTCGTTAGTCAGGTACGGCTCCTTCCACGGTGTAATTTCCTCGCCCTTTGGTACCTTGGCAGGTCGATGCAGACATGTCAGCCTGTCCACGTTGCCGTGTCGCTCTGTCTTTCGATGGACGATATCGAAGTCGTATTCTTGTAGTCGCACCGCCCAGCGGCCAATCATGCCCGTGTAATTGGTGAGTTTCTTTAGCGCCAGCAGAGGCTCGTGATCCGTTACGAGGCGAAACTTCTGTCCGTAAAGGTACGGATGGAAGTGTTGGATTCCCCAAACTACCGCATAACACTCACCCTGAGGTGCGGAGTCGTTTCTTCGTTCGTCCATTACGGTTCGTGACGCATACTCGATGACGTGTTCGCGACCATCGTTCCCCTTCTGCGCTAGAATAGCGGAAATAGCTTCCGGCTGCCAGTCCGTGATAAGAATGAACTGCTTCGAGGAGTCCGATCGAATCAAAATAGGGGTCGTTGCCAGAGCGTCCTTGAGGGTTGCAAAGGCCTGCTGGCACTCCGCGTCCCAGCTGAGAGGTTGGTCGTTCCGTAGCAGATTCGTTAGTGGTCGTGCAATCGCGGCAAAGCCCTTGATGAAGCGTCGGTAGTACGACGGCAGTCCCAAGAAGGCTCGAACCTGCGTCAGTGACGTAGGAATCGGAGCTTCCTTCACCGCCGCAACTTTTCTCGAATCTGGCCGTAATCCTCCACGTGTCACAACATAGCCCAAGAACGAAATTTTCGAGAGGAAAAATTCGCTCTTCTCAAGCGCAATCTTGAACCCAGCGTCTCTCAATGCACCCAATGTCCATTCGATGTGTTGCGCGTGTCCGTGATAGGTTTCCGAATAGACCAGGATGTCGTCCATGTACACGATTACACAGAAGTTAATCATTCCTTGTGTCAGCCGTGTCTTGTTGACGAAGTTCTGGAACGTCATGTTCATCGCTCGCTGAAACGTGGCAGGCGCATTGCAAATCCCCATCGGACACCGAACCCACTGCCATGTACCCTCAAACAACACAAAGGCCGTTTTCGACCGATCTTCTTCCCTTACCAGAATATGATGGAAGCCATGCCGAATATCAAACTTGCTGAAATAATTAGCGCATCCAATCGCATCCAACAGATCATCGATCCGGGGGAGGGGATACATATCTTTGATCGTGATTTCGTTCAGCTTGCGATAATCAATGCAAATGCGAATTGCCCCGTTCTTCTTCGGTACTAATACTACGGGAAAGGACCAAGGTCCGGTAGCGGGTTCAATCCAGCCGCTGGCTTCGAACTCCCGAATTCGTTCGAGAGCCTTTTTGCGTTCAATCAAGGAATAGCGATAAGGTTTGCAATGAATCAGGGTGTGATTTCCTGTTTGAATTTCATGTTGGATTACTAATGACAACCCAATGTCAGTGTCTGACACACTAATCGCTCCTTGATAGTCCGTTAGAATATCCGCAATTACCCGGTGGATTTCATCCGGCACATATTGTGGAACATGCAATTCAAAAAGTTGGTCCCAGATCCGAACGTCAATCTGTTTCGTGTTCGCCTGTTTTGTCAAGTTGGGTGGAGGCGCCAAGATGAATGAATGATCCGATCGCCAGGAGAACACCGTGACCATCATCTGAGCATCTTCTTCTCGGATTGCCACGTGTCCTTCCGGGGTAATCCCGTCACAAAAATCCTGCCATGGCACTTCCTTAGTTGCGATCTTTATCCCCAGTTTGTCTGTTTCTGCTTCAAAACGCCTAGGGGGTTCCAGAGAGCTTGCTTCCGCCCCCAAGCGTAACAATCTCACTTCTTTAGCCGAGGTTAGTAGGGACTTGGGTAGATCCGTAATGTCACAGTAATGCTTCTTGTCGTTGTACTGGGCGAGGAGAGGCGTGATCCCTTCGTACAGAGTTTGAGGGGGTTCCAAAGAATCGACCATCCTCGAAATCTGCACGAGGGGCTCACCCAAGATCATCGCCTTGGTCCTTTGAAATTTTCGGTTGGTCAGTTGCATCGTTCTCGCTATCGTTTTGGGCGGCGGGTAACGAATACGTTGTCGTGCCAACTTCAAGATCTCCGTATCATCTTCGTCACTGTTGTCTGCATCTTTTGTTGATGACTTTCCGTCTGCAGATTCATCCCTGGCGATCATGCGGAAAGTCCCTGCCATCATCGGCGAAACCCGTGGAACCGTGTTAATAGTAGTGTGAAGGGTCAATCGCATGGGCACAGCGTAGGGTTTTCCTCCGGTATTTCGGAGGACGATCGATCGTCGTTCGAAGTCCAGGTTTGCTCGTAGCGCTACAAGAGCGGGTAGTCCAAAGAGAACGTCGTACGTATTGACATCTAGTACTACGACATCCTCAAGCGCATGCACCCTACCCAATCGGAAAGCGTTATTGGTCATTCTTCCCACGGTTTTAATTCTTTCTTCGTGAGCCAAAACGAGCTGATCTTTCTCAGAAAGCGTGATCAAGTCGTTTTTCCTGCCTGCTCTTTCGACCACTCTTAGTGAGATAGCCAACACAGCCGCTCCCGAATCTATAATAGCATTGTAAGGAATTCCCCAAATTTCTATATCACACTCAGCGGATTCCACGAAATTGGTTTAATCCGCAAGAAATGATCATCTTTCTGGATTAAACCTAACCGTATCGGATCCGAAGTACTTGCGGGATTTTTTTCGAGCGTGGGGCTTTTGGCTTTCGCGTTCGGGGTTCGAGCAAGGGCGAATCGCTTTCGGTTCGCCTTGCAATGCTGTAACATTTGCTCGTTGGCCTGTTCGGAGATCGAGAGCAGATGACCAATCGGAAGGGGAATCCGATGGTCCAAAGCTCGGATGATGTTTAATACATCGATCTCCCATGTGACGAAGGTGGGTCCTCCCGACTCCATTTCTCCTAGGGACGGTCGCCACTCCGCCACCTCTTTCGGTTCTGGTGCTGGTCGGATTGTTCCGATCATTCCAAGCCCAGGATATCCTAGCGATAC